AATCTAACCCTTATTCCCATTGCCATAGCTATAATCACTTCAAACATTTTCTCCTAAAATATATTAACAGTGCCCAAATTGCTTGCCCTTCCAGGGTCTTCCATTTTCCATGCTGTAGTTAAATCTAATAATAACATTCTCTCAACTAAACACCATCAGTGGCTCTTTATGAACTACAGGATAAATTCCAAATTACTTAGCATACAAACCCTGTCACAATCTGGTCTCAACTTGCCCTGGTTCATCTACTGTCATTACCTGCCTCTTATATAACTTCCAGCCACAGCCAAATTCTGTAGGCTCCCATGCTGTTTCGAGACTCGATTATAACTTTGCACATGCTGTTCCCTCCTTATGAAGAATCCTTCCTGCATTTTTTCCATATGGAAAGTTTCTACTAAATCAGACTGTTCAAAGATCCTCTCTCTTCAGTAAAGGTCTCACTACTCCTGTCTATATTTTCACATTATTTTGCGTATACCTCTAACCTCACTGTACATTGTGTTTTGAAGACAGAATGTGTCTTACTCATCTTTATAACTCAAGGGCCTACTATACTGCATGGCACAGAGTGAGGGGTTGGTACATGCTTGTTGATTGAATGAATGAATGAATTGGCGGAGGTAAAAGGGAAAAAACTGGAGAAATTAAAAAAACAGAATCAATGGAGATGCAATTTTAAATAAATTATCTGACCCTTTCATCTGGTTGCATACATAAATTCTGTTATAGTATTAATTATTATATTATGTCATATTATTATATTATTTCTGTAGTAAAACCCAGTAGAATGGTATACATAGCTATTAGGAAGAGGTTTATGTGGCTAAGATTGAATCTAACTGCTCCTAAAACTAGCAAATTGAGGTTATTATTATTTATTTAATTTTTAATTTTGCAGTGTGGTGTTTGGACATGGTGTAGGAAAGGTAGCAGAGAAAGAGAGATGCAAATTCTTAATTGCAAATCACATGTACCTTGGAGGTAGTCTGATCTATTGTTTAAGGTACAGGATTCAGACCCCTCATAAATTCTTAGGCTGAAAAAGTAAGAATAATGTTTCATTTATAGAATTATTATGAAGTTTAAAGGAGAATATGCTTGCGAAACACAAAAATAACTTTTTAAACTGTAAATTTCTAGTGTTTGGGTTAACTTCTCTCCATGGTAATGTTTTGAATTATGAAAAAGAGCCGTTATTCTGGTATTTCCCATATGCCCTTCATATTCTCTAGTTACTTTGTCATAACTGGCATGCCCCATTCTTTTGACGAGCTTTGGCCTCAGTTTCAATAAGCAAAATAAATGATAACAATACCACTTGTCTGGCTGGTAGAAAAAAAAAAAGGCTAGATCAAACTAATACAAAAGTTATTATTGATATAAAAAATATGTGGCTAGGATACCACAGCATTCTCTGTCTTTATGGGGCAAATGCAATGAGTAGAATGATTCAATTCCCCTCTAAAAACTTGGAAAATGAATGGTTCTTTCTTTCATTGACTATGGAGTTGGCATAATACAGACTGACTACAATTAGTAGCTCATTAGTAACTACCAGGTAATTATTGGCTAGCATTCAGCTATTGGCAGATGCCTCATAAGGCACTTAATGAATTTTGCATTCGTCTTTCTGAGAAACTTTCAGGAGAAAATACTCCTGAAAGCAGCAACTCTTTTACTTTCCTTTTCTACTCACTTGAGCCACAAGGTATTTTCAACATCAAATTTAAACATTTTAATAACATCATACTAGTATACTAGTGTATCTTTCAGCCAAATATTTTTCTTATTAATGAATTTACTATGTCCCTCTACCCAAAGTCATCAGTATAATGATTGAAAGACACTTTCTTTGTGTGTATTTAATTTTGTATTAAATCTTTCTAAGCATTAGTCACCCACCTGTCTGACATAACTTTTGTAACAATAAGTAGTTGATGGAGTCAATAGTTTCTATTCGATCTAACATTGTTTAACTACAAGTTTTGTTATTCAAACACCAAAGGCTCAAATGAAAAATAAGCAAGTAATTGGTATTATATTTTTAATATCCACTTCTTAAACCAAAAATTGTTTAATTTTTATCTTACAGTGAAATTTTACCACAAAATAATACATTCATAACAACCTAGCACTTTATATAGATGCTAAAAATGGACAAGTTCATGGTTACCTGGTGGAAAATACTAATTGCCACAATAAAACTTTCAATTACAGGCAGTTCCCAGGTTACAAACATCCGACTTAAGAAAAACTCTTACACAAGAACGGACAGCCATAAAGCCTATGACATTAAAAATTTGAGTTAAATACAATGGTTCATAATAATGAACACATGCACTACTTTGTGACACTCACGAAAACACCAAACGATTTGGAGGTGTTTAAGTGTTTTATACGCATAGAAAGGTGAAATATATACAATATACTAAGGCAAAGATTTGACTGATACTAAATAAGAACTGTATGTACCTCTTGCGACTTTCCTACAAATTCGACTTAAAGATATGCTTAGGAAAGGATCTTGTTTGTAACCCAGGGGCTGCCTGTATATCATCCAAAAATGTTGTAGAACATTTCATTATTCTTTGGGAGAGATATAACTGCTGAATGCTAAGTGTGATTTTGATTTGTCAACATTACTTTTGCTGTCATTAAAATCCTAAGGTGATCTTTAAATAATTCTTAACTCAAACTGCATCCTGATGAGTTTATCTCCATAATTGGGATGTCAACACCTAAACAAGTGACTCAGCCAGCTACACTTCTCATACCTCAGTTGTTCCTATCCTCGCAAAAGCTTCCTGTCAGCATCTATAGTTAGGATGATGTACTTATTTAAACATAGATCAAGAGGCACTTAGGTAAAATTATGAAATAGTGTGACGTCAGTGACTTTACCTCCTATTTCTTTAAGTTGGTAGCTTCACGCTGCCTAGCGGCTGTCCAAATATCTTTCTCAGGACTCTATACCAACATACATTTGCAGGGCACCACGTGACACCAAAAACCATCCCTCCTTACCGCCTCTTCTTCAGGGGTTTTGTTCTAATCTTATTGCCAGGGCATAATGCAATCTGGTAAACTAAGCCACACTAACATGTTGGCTTTATTTGGGATCTCCCTGTGAAACTTGTAGTTTTAGAGATATTTGAACACGAAAACATCTGATAACAAAGGTGACATTAGGTCACCAAAGATGAGTAAAAATTCATTTTCTTCTTCTAAGGGAAAAAAAATCTAATCCTTACAAGGAAACATGCATCTAAAATAACTTGAGGGTTCATCTGAATCATTTGTGATTTTTGTTATATCCATGCCATCTTCTCTCTGCCCCTTTTCTTTTCTATTACAACCTTCTCTGTTACTCTTGTTAATTCCCTCATTCTATGCTCCCTGCCCCCAGTAAGCCTTCTTTCATCCCTAATTCTAGTGTTACCTCCCCCAATATCCAATTTCTTCTTTCATTTGTTTTGGACTTCACTTACAGTTTTTTAAACTACTGAGAGTTATCCATATAGGACAATAAAGTATCTATAGAATTTTATATTCATTCACATTCAAATTATTTTTGGGAAGTAACTCTGCTTTGAAAGCTGTTTTCACATTAACTTTTGTTGCTATTGTTGATTAGATAGCAATATATTTAATCAAGTACATAGTATAATTAACGACTTTTAAATAATATTGATCTACTCTCTGTAAAAATCTATACTTTTAAACTGTTTCTAGAAAACTCAAACAAATTCTACCAGATTGCAATAACAACCTCATCATTAAAAACAAATATCCTTCTATTTCAATCAGTTAGGATACATGTATATGTTAACTTATAAAACCATCACTTATTACAAATAAAAACTGTATAGAAAAGTACAATTAAAGAAAACATTGACAGTGTCAAAATTATTTTTATGCATGAATTATATTATTTCTGAATAAATATATCTAATTCTAATTTACCAGTATTGTTATAAAGGAGTCCAATAATGTAACTTAAAATTAAGAAATGTGTTTTGTGAAAGTATATAAAATATACATATATGTAAGTATTTTTTAAAAATGATTATTTTATGCACTGATAAAATACTGAATCACTTGTGCTACTGGACCAACCTTTGTGTCTATGAGAACCATCCATGTTGCTGAATTCAATGTGATTTTCATCAGCCCAGTAGAGTCTATGGTTGACATAATCTATTGTAAGTGCCATAGGTCTAGAAATCTTGGTTTCTATGACAACACTTTGATTGGTTCCATCCATTCCAACACGGCCAATGTGAGGAAACTCACAACAGTCAATCCAGTACAAATACCTAGGAAAGAAAATCAATAACTGTTTTACTTACAGGCATTCAAAGAGTAACACATCAGGCAATATTTCAATCATTTGCTCAGCTATTCCAAAATTAATTATTGAAAACTTTCTGAATTGTCTCTGCAAAGAAGCTTATTTCAGTGCAAACATTTCTAAGATTTTTAATTAAACCTGCAGTATAATTTAGAATATCCACATAATTTTAAACGTATTTCCTTCTAGTGTATAAACCCATAAATATATACACAATATAATAAAATATTTCTAAAAGTCTTACCAAATTATAGATTCCCCGAACTAAAAGATGTAAACCTTAAAAGAGCATCTATAATGTTGGAGCAATAAAACTATCAACATATATATTGCTTTCTTTTTGTTACCTATGAAGTATTCAAAATTAATTATGAAGGAGTACATTCCATTGTTTAAACATGCATTGTTCAATATGGTAGTACCAGCTAATTATGACTATTTAAATTTAAATTATTTCACATCAAATAAAACTTAATAAACAGAATTGTTTCTTAGTTAAACTAACTACATTTCAAGTGTTCAGATAGTCACACGTGGCTATCATGTTTGACAAGGCAGATATAACACATTTCCATCATCACAAATAGTTCTATTGGAGAACATTGTTTTAAATTATTTTATTGAATGTTCGAGAGTAGAACATTTCAGGCAGTGAGGGGAAAAACAGTAAAATGAAGAAAGAATTATTGATATTAAAATTAATTTGTTTGAATTAAATATAAATATTGCACTTCATGAAATACAAATAAAGTATAAGTGAAAGAGATTGTATAGACATTTATCTTCATTTAACTTAAACTACTTGTTTTTTTTTCTCAAGTAGTAGAGGTCACTTTATTTTCCTGGATTCATTTTCTTATCAATATAATTTAATATTTGGGTTAAACCCATTGCCATAGAGTCGATTCCCACTCATACTGACCTTATAGGACAGAGTAGAACTGCCCCATAAGGTTTCCAAGACTGTAATCTTTATGGAAACAGATTGACACATCTTTCTCCCGCAAGATTTGTGTTAGAAAATCTTTAATGTTATTTCACATTCCAACTCTAAAATTGAAAATTTGTTTTCCTAGACCTCATCCTTCCTTTTTGCTAAGGAAAGGATTCTTAGTAATTAATTCTTAAAATTTGGAAGATGTATAATCAGAAGAACATGGTATGAAAATAATTCTGTGTGGCTTAAAAACTGGTATATTCAAGTAAAATTTAAAATATTCTTTAAAGAAATGTTTTTCTTATAAATTCTGAATGAAATAATCATGCTCAGGTATTTTAACTACAGTCTAGAGTGAAGATAAGGGTTTTCAGTAAAAGCCACTTACCAAATATAGGGCTAACATAAATATTCATTGCAAGAAATTCATTTACGTGTTTGTATTGACTATCATTTTTGCGTGTGGAAAAGGGCAGGGGGTGATGGATTATAAAGATAATAAAAACATTCTTTGCTAACAGAAATATCATTAAAAGTCCTAATTAATCATGGTATTTAAATGGAGAAATATATCTCTGATAAGAATTAAGCAAAATGAAGAATGTTTTGAGCAGAGATCCAAAGAGGGCTCTGAGAGTCAAAACCTAGAGCATACTTTAATCTTACAATGTCACAGTTAACCAACCTCACATACGGCAATACCAGAATTGCTATCCAATGCTTGAACATAGTTTGAAAAATCCAAAATCATCAGTAGTAATATATATCAAGCCCTTCAAAAACTGACTAGGTGTTCTATTTCTTTAAACCTTGAACTAGTATTTTTTTTTTTGAAAAGCAGACATTTGGTAGTACAGTACATCTTTTGGAAAAACACACAATCTATTTCTTTCTAGTACATTTATGGATGAACACCTTTCTGCCTATTCTAAAGATAATAGTAATATAGATAAAAAAGGAAGAAAATGGATCAGAAAGAAGAAAAATGAAAGATAATTTATCCTATAGAAATAAGTCAAAACATGCCCCTAGCTTTACTGATCGCTGAATTTTGAGAAAAGTGACATCAATTTTTTCTAATAAATGTGATATGATTATGTCAGCTATAGTATCTATTTTTTTAACACATAGTTTTGTGTGACAGCATTTTACTTTCCTACAGCAATTCACAAGGAGCCCTGGTGGCTCAGTGGTTAAGCTGTTGGCTTTCACTAACTGAAAGTTGATGGTTCAAACCTAACAGCAGCTTCTCAGGAGAAAAGACCTGGTGATCTGCTCTTGTAAAGATTTCAGCATAGGAAACCTTATGGAGCAATTCTACTCTGTCCTATAGGGTCTCTATGAGTCAGAATGGACTCAACAGCACACAACAACAAAGCAGTTTACAGGACTACTGCATCAGGGAACACTTTGGGAAAATGGGTTTAGCCCATTGTGGTCTACAGGATTTTTTTCTTTATCACATGTGTAATGAAACAACACATATGGAACAACACAAAGCAGTAATGATGTAGGTTTTCAGGCCTCATAATCACAGAACCTGACTCAATAAATTAGTGGTGGAGCATTTTTGATAAGCACTGAAGCTATTCTGAGGTAGGAAGAGAAATATATTTTATATACTGATTCTCTGATGCCCTATTATATGCCAGATATTGCTAATTACTGGGAGTACAGAGGTTAACATATATGATTTTCAGACAATAACCTTTTATCTCGTTCAGATTTTAGGACAAAATATAACTAAATTGAAAATTTTAATTTTTTAACATTTCTTGAAGATGATGTATCCTGAGGCGTTCATTTTACTGATAAACTGAGACCAAAAAAAATTATACCTTTTGCCCAAATCCATTATGATGATTAAGGACCCAGTTGAAACAAAGATGTAGGTCTCTAGATTTGTAGACTAGCTTATTTTTTTCTAAGTAAAACTATGTGGAATCTTAAGCAAACAAGCCTTAGAAACAGATTGCATTGTTAGCACTGCTGAGTCAATTCTGACTCATGACAACCTTATACATAATGACCCTGTATGTAACAGAACAAAATGTTGCCCAGTCCTTTGCCATCTTCATGATCATTGGTATGTTTGAGTCCATCGTTGTGGCTATGTGTCAATCCATCTCACTGACGGTTTCACTCATTTTCACTGACCCTCTACTAAACATGATGTCCTTTTTTAGAAAATGGTCTTTCCTGATGATGTGTCCAAAGTAAGCGAGTCCAATCTCACCATCCTTGCTCCTAAGCGTTTGGTTTTATTTCGTCTAAGGTTGATTTGTTCATTCTTTTGGAAGTCCATGGAATAGTAAATATTCTTTGCCAACACCACAATTTGAATGCATTAATTCTGTCTTCCTTTTTCATTGTTCAGCTTTCTCATGCATATGAGACAATTGAAAAGACTATGGCTTGGACCAGGTGCACCATATTCATCAAAGTGAGACATCTTTGCTTTTTAAACTTTAAAGAGATGATCTTTTGCCGCAGGTTTGCCCAATGTAATACATTGTTTGATTTCTTGATCACTGCTCCATAGACACTGATTGTTGATCCAAGTAGAATAAGATCATTGACAACTTCAATTTCTTCTTCATTTATCATGATGTTGTTTATGAGTCCAGTTGTGAAGATTTTCGATTTATTCATATTCACCTGTAATCCATACTGAAGACTGTAATCTTTAACCCTTATCAGTAAGTCCTTCAAGTCATTTTCATTGTTGACAAGCAAGGTTGTATCATCTATAGGTTGTCAATGAGTCTCCAATTCTGATGTCATGTTCTTCTTCATATAGTCTAGTTTCTCAGGTTATTTGTTAAGCATACAGATTGATTAAATAAGGTGAATGGATACAACCCTGACGCACAATTTTTCACATTCTGAACCATGCAGAATTCCTTGTTCTGTTTGAATGACTGCTTCTTGTTTCATGTACAGGTCCTGCATGAGCATAATTAAGTGTTCTGGAACTCTCATTCTTTGCAATAGTATCCATAATTTGCTATAATCCACATAGTTGAATGCCCTCATGTAGTCAACAAAACACAGGTTTTATTGATTACTCAAAGGCAATAAAACACAGGTGTTATATCTACTTGTATCAGAAACAGATGATTTGGGTTCACATTCCAGGGTCATCCATTACTAGCTATGTGAACCTGGGCAATTCAAGTACCCTCAGTGAGCCTGGATTTACTCATATGTTCAAAAGGAATAATAGTTTCCCTCATAGGTTCACTGTAAGAATTGGACGAGTCAATGTGTGGAATAAACGTAAAACTTTTACAAGCTCATAGCAAATGTTCAGTGAATGCTAGTTATTATTATTTTATCTGAACTAGATATGGAATATGTACATTAATATATATTTTTGGTAAGTAATATCTGTTACATATTGGTTTTATGTATATTATTACATGATTTACCTGGATTTTATGTATGTTATTACATTATTTTTCTATTTAAGTATTTCACAGAAAGAAGATTATTATGAAAATATTCCCTGATTTAAGGAAATGTGTAATTTAACTGTGCTGAGGTAAATATAAGCCTTCATAAACAGAATTTATTGTGACTCTCTCTCTATGTGTAGCTAATTTTGGATGGTTAAATACAATTTTATTTCCCATACTTAAGCACCATTACTGTTTATATATAATTTTTTGGTGTTTCTCATTAAGCCTACACTAGACATAGTGACAATTTTAACTTCTGAAATGTTGTTGTGGCTATGTGCTGTCGAGTCGATTCCAACTCATAGTGACCCTACAGGACAGAGTAGAACTTCCCCATAAGTCTTCCAAGGCTGTAATCTTTACGAAAGCAGATTGCCACACCTTTCTCCTGCGGAGCGGCTGGTGGGTTTGAACCGCTGACCTTTTGGTTAGCAGCCCAGCGCTTAACAACTGCACCACCAGAGCTCCTTAAAGAAATGCAACCCCTTAAAAATCATCTATGTACAAAACTTGCTGTAAGTAATTAAAACTGAAAAATGAAAAATTTAGTGAAACTTCACTAAATTTCACCCAGATAATATGCAATGGCTACCCAAGATCACATACGAAAAATCTCAGCCCCAAATAATGCACACTGTGTAAGTTATGGGTCCCTAGTGGCGTAGTGGTTAATATCCTGGCTGCTAATCAAAATGTCGCTAGTTAGAATTCACCAGCCGCTTCTTGGAAACCCTATGGGGCAGTTCTACTCTGTCCTATAAGTTCGCTATGAGTCAGAATCGACTCGGGGACAATTTTTTTTTTTGGCTTAAGTTATAA